CGTTGGCAGTTCTGTTCGCAGTGGCACTTTTTCAACACTACCCCCTTCGGGCAAACGTTTGACATATATACGGATCACAAGCCTTTACTTGGAATTCTCGGAGAAAATAAACCATTACCTTAAATGACGTCGCCTAGAATGCAACATTGGGTCTTAAAACTGGCCTGATCCCGGTATCATTTGCAGTACACTCTTGGACAAATGAACTCACAGAGGATGCCCTAAGTCGCCTACCGCTACGGGATGTCCCATTTCACACACCGAAACTAGCCGAGCTGGTAAATTTGGGTTGATGATCTACCTATGACTGCTGCGGAAATACGAGTAGAACCAAGGAAAGATCCAGAACTCTCACGCGTGCTTCGTTTCACTTCTTACGGATGGCCGGAGAAGGTTGGATTACGTGAACGATCGTCGGAATTAAGGGTGGAAGATGGATGTTTACTATGGGGTGCAACAGTGATAATTCCTTCCGAAAATTTTAATGGAATTACATTCAGGCCACCCAGGTAACACGCAGTTAACCGCGTACACGTGGATTACTGTGGCCCTATTGAAAATTATATGGTCCTTGTGATTTTCGATGCGTATTCCAAGTGGACAGAAGCGGTGCCCACCAGAACTGCATCTAGTGCGTCGACACTTCGCAGCACTTCGGCACGGTGTAACTGATACGATTGTTTCCGATAACGGTACGGCTTTCACCAGTGCGAAATTTCAGCAGTCAGCTTTTGAAAACCAACGGAATGGAACATGTTTTTACATACCATCCCATACCATTCCGCTTCTAACGGCTGACTGAACGTGCGGTAGAAGCGGTAAAGAATGGATAGATGAAACAAAGCCCAGGTCCGCTACAAACAAGACTGAACAAGTTTTTACCGCAGTACAGGTTTACGCCACATACTGCTACGGACGAAGACGCCCTGCGAATTGCTAATGGGACGAAGTCTTCGAACACGTTTGGATCCGGTACGGTCGGATTTGGCAGGTAAAGGCAAAAAATGACTGTTCCATGAAGCGAAGCGCAGCTAAGCAGGCCCGACCTCGCACAGTACGAAGTGGCGAGGAGGTTTACGTCAAACTTCATCCGTCAGATAAGAAATGGGTGCGTGGTTGTGACGTTGACAACCGTAACCTTATCTATGTGTTGTTACAAGACGGGAAGATAATACGCCGTCATTTAGACCATATCAGAACTAGGAAGCAACGGCCCGATGCGGAACAAACATCGGAGCTCACAGTACTGGTGGACTCCGGATTGAAGCAAAGAGTTTGGAAACAGCGACAGATTCTTCAAACTGACTAAGCTGATCAGCAAGGGAGTCAACGCCGGTCGAGCGTTGCCAAGCTGGAGTTGGCTAAATCTGGTGGTGGAGGACTGTAGTAGCTAGCGCCTCGATGTGCCGTAGAGTTTGCGCGTGTGCCTGTCCGTTCGCCAATCCACCATCGATCTGGAGTGAGACAGTAGTGGCGGAATGGAGGGATGTCCGATTGGTTGGCACGCCTGCGTGTCTGTTGTTAACTACTGACTGACTCACTTGTTTGCTTACCCGTTGCAAGGCAGACCTGTTTGGCCGCGTGTGCCCAATACACCCGTACCCTTACCTGCATGTGGAGTGGAAATGCTCACGACAGTGACATCATCATTGGCTGGACAGACAAAGCTATTGATTGTTCACATTCACATCAATCTCGTTTGAACAGTTATCCTCATGTCCTGGCGCAATTATTCTGGTCATTCCACACTAAAGGAGGGTAGCACTGGGCGTTAAAGCTCATTAGCAGTGCATATCCAATGGCCGTGCCGCGGTTTGAAAATAGGGCACCTGACTTGCGAGCCGAACGTGTTACCACTATTGCACCAGTGCAAGTTGGACACATCTGAGCGGGCGAATGTGTTCACGTTTGAGCGATGTGATTGGTATGCCCCAACACCATCGATACGACGACGCAGTGACTGTCCTGGTTGTGACGATCGATTGGCCCGCTTGTCAGGACTTCCCAGTCAGGTGGCGCCACAGACGCTTGAAACCCGCTGGACAACTTTTGTTGATGCATGTTGTGGGGTGAACACTACACATCCCGCAAAACCCACAACGTGCATCAAGGTGACTGATCATATCCTATATATTTTTACGCACTGGTTCCGTATATTTGACCTGACCTGATAGTATAGCCGTATTCCTGGTTTTCTGGCTGCTCCTTATCGTGTTGTCTGGCGGGCCCAATTCAGGTGTAACCAATAGGCAGCCCCAGCACCCAAAGAGATATTCAGTACAACAGAAGAGACAATGGCAACTCAGTTTGTTTATCTGGCTTGATTTCCTTCGCTTCTGGTGCAAGTTGAGCGCAAACACGCTTAATCATCTTCCGAACTTCTGGTTTTTTTTATTGGACTTCGCCCGGTGGGATCCCAAATGTTACCGCTTTCGACCCAACATAGAGGGCCCGTACACGAAGGGTTTTCTTATAAGGGCAATTCTCAAAGAGGGCCTACTGGAAACAATACTCTATGGTAAACTATATATTATCCTCGGGAACCTCATCTGACCGACTGGCACCTGTTGCGACAAGAGGTCAGTAAATTACTTTCCTGGAAACCAAACATGGGGGATCGTTCGCCTGGTGCAGAGTTGCAGAGTTCGGCAAGAAAATACTCCAACTGGTATCCTTGTCCTCTGGATTTTGATCGCTTTGCGTAGCACAGATAAGCATCTATTGGTTCTCAACATCACTTAAGGTCAACCGGTATCAACGTTTCATTCCCCACTCAGTGAGGAAGTTGTAATCAGCGATGGCCTCGTCAAGCACCCTCACTCAATGCATCCACATCACATTTTGAGACTGAATCCGCTCTGGGCGATTGCCACGGCAACCATGAAGCACACAACTCCATGAATTTAAATAAGTCAATGAAAGTTTGCGCAACAAGCATTCTGATTGCCTGATTACCCACCAAGCAGCGATTCCAAGACACGGTGACACTGACTGCCCCGTTGTTTAGTAAAACCCCGTTCGGTAAAGAATTATTTCGAAACGAAACATTTGTAGCGCAATGTAATTCAAGTAAATCTTTCGGGTGAGACTTTTCAGAGTAGCTTCTTCAAGAGGACTGAAGTTATTTGATGAGATGTCAGCTGAAGTGGAGCCTGTCAGCGGCCATCCACTGATTCTTTCACACTTGTTAAATGAAAATAATTTCTTAACAGATCCCAAAAGTGAATTTCCTCGGCTGCGAGGTTCCACGGCGCTACCCATGAAAGGAAGAAAGCCCTCCCTGCAGAGTTACTTATTGGAAAGCACCAGCTGAACAGTTACAGACCATTGGACAGGGAAGCAAAACTTTCATATGCATCTTGTTTATAAAAACCGAATACCCGTCTTCTTCTCGAACGCGTCTTCCTGAACTTTCCTGGGTACTCATTGACTATCGCTCAAATGCAAACGAATGCCACAAAGCAATTCCACAAATGCCGTGATGAATCTCATTTTTCAATAGACGCGAAGCGGATTTACGATAAAACATGCTATTCGCATGTCTCATTAATAGTTTCCACCGTTACACCCGTATATTTCCATGTTTTCTGTAACCCACACGAGGGCATTTTGCGCTTTTTCGTGCTGCTTAAATATTACAACTCAGTTTCAAAAACTATGTCCAGAACCATTCAAGATATAAGGCTTCTTAATTAGAACGACACGCAGTTTAGCTTGACATTAGGCTGGATTTTACAACGGAACTCAGTCGTTTGACGGACGACTATTCACTGATTGGATTTCTCCGTTGCCGGAATTCAGTGCGTGCTGGATAATGAGGCAATCAGATGTACAGCTAAACCAGACGAAACATGGTTTACTGACCCTGTACTTTTTTCTTCGTGGAAGCGATATGAGCCTACAGGCGAAGTAGAATTCTCGATAGCTCTTTCTGTCGTTTAGGCGTACGTAGAACCGACACAATCTACTAAAATGGCGGGAAACTTCCATCCTCCTGAAAATGATCGCCGTTTATCGGGACAAGTATGACTAATGTTAATTTGTTGAGCCACCTGAGTTGATATGTAATTATTCAGCCGCGTCAAACTCGAAGTTCGCAGAAACTATCTACGGATGCAAGAGTAAAGCTCAAAATTTGGCGATGCCTGGTTCTGTGGTGCAACATGCTAAGATTTACCAACAATAGCACTTTAAGCTAATTTTTACACATTGATTTGAAAGCAGTTAGAAAGCTACTCAAATGTCCAAGTGAAAGGTTGCAGATAAAATAGTTATGCTCACATTGCAGTGATGTAGGGGGCGAAGCGCAGACGCTTTGTTAATTACTTGTTCCTTTGACCGATACATCTGTTTCATAAACGGAAGCTGAAATTGTCTGTCATTCCATCCTTTCGTGATAATGTGATAGCCCATGAATTACGCGTTAAAGCAAGCGATATATAAGTTTCGCATCACCATTCTTCCACCTTGTGGACTTTGAATTGAAGGGGGAAGTTATATAGACGCATTATACTACTCATAAGGTTGCTGGAAACTCTTCGACAGCTCACGACCAATTTCGACCTTCTTGGGGCTAGTTATGTAGGCGCAATCAGCGATTTTTCGTCAACCTTATTTTCTACTTGGAGCCAAAATGCACAGACTTAGAGCATACAAATTTGCATACAAATTTGGTTTCCACGGGAGACTCATCTGGAACCCAGCGGAATCTGTCGTTTATGAGGTTTTTTTTCAGCAACTGAATGTGCTGCACTCCAAGAGGTAAGGATTGGCCCGTGTAAGCCGATAGTCTCCGTGCGGGAAACTTTTATGGTGGTGAATTTAGTTCCAGGTTCTGCTATACGTCAACGATTTTCAGTAATATGGTTGGTGCTATCTAAAGCATAGTCAAATTTCGAGTTCTCCGGTTTTGTCCAGCTAGATTAGATAATCCTCTAAAGCACGCTAAGTGATGTAGGTTGAAATGGCTTGACTGATTTACTTTTCTCCTTTTCTGACAGGCAATAGTTCTGGATACTGACACCCTCCTTAACGCAGATATTCTGGAGTTATGGAAGCTGTTCGACAACTTTACTCAGATCCAGGTAAGTAAATTTACTCTGACGTCAACGGATTATATTTTACGAACTGTGCTGAATAGATAATAAATTTCCAAAACTGAAGAACAGCTGTTGTGTACTGCACTATCACCTGAACTCCCCTCCACATCCTATATCATTACGCCTTCGTTTTGTCCCAGATTTTTGGAATGGCCTGGGAAACGGACCCACTCGGTCCAGAAAACGCTGAAATCCCAATTCCTGTGAGTTTATTTTATTCTGAACACATTAAATATCACTGCGGTGCACCACAAGAAAATGTATTCTGGACGCGTTGCTGTTTGCTCTTACCTTGAATCTTTTCCTAGTTTGTGTACTCATTCATCCAAAGTGCAAGTTTATGAAGAAACCTTTCCCATTCGGTGGAATGGTATCAAGTTAAATAGTAGTAAGTACTTCATGCTATTGCAAATTCATAAAATTCTAGGTATTCATAAAGATTGAAATTACTTCGGTTCGACGATCACAGCAGCTGTCAGTTATAATCCGAGGTCACAAATGAATGAATGCATTCATGTACACAAAGAGCATTCAGAAATACTGCCCCTAATGCTGTAAACGCTAATAACAGAGCAAAACACAGCTAACTCCAAGATTCAATAGCTAATAAGGACACATTCACACAGTACTGTACAGAATCTCTTGCTGTTATCTTTCAGGCTCCTCTCGCTTTGAAAGAATCCCAAACTGGATACCCGTACGCGCTTTAAGCAGTCATATTTTTTCGCTACTCGCGTGTGCTTGTTCTACATTGAGCCCTTTATTCAAGTAGATAATTGTCAGTTAACAGATTAGCCTCCATAACTAGATTTCTCAGTCTCTGTCTGTCTCTCTGCTCATTTCAATCATTACCAAACTGTTTGTCACTCGAGGACACGTGATCATGTGATGTAGTTTCCGTTACTGAAAGATGACTGGCACTATGTCCTATCTAAGTAAGAACTAATCACACTGCTGATTAACCACCATGGCTGGGCATTGGTGTTCAACGTCGGAGGTTCGAAACTCCCTAGTGGAGTGCTTCTCGGTTTTTCAGCCAGTTTTCAGCCAGCTCAGTTTTTCTTTAACTGGTTCAGAATGCGTTCTAACTGAGAATGGAAGTCCCACTTAGGTCTTTTATTATTTTGTATACTGGGATTCCATGGGGCAAAATAGGTGGCCCGAAAGGAGTTTTTGCCTTGCTCTTTTATTATTTTGTATACTGGGATTCCAGAGGGCAAAAGAGTTGGCGCGAAAGAGGTTTTTGCTTTGTATGGAAACAAGAGAACAAGAATAAAAAATCATATCGAATAGTCTTTATCAAGTGTACGTTGACACTCACATCAAGACTGGTTCATGTAAACCATACAATGATACTCCGTCAAGCGAGTGTGGCAATGAGAGAGACAAGTTCACGGTTGAATGGCAGTGTTAACAAAGGTGAGAGAAAAAACGCAATATGTCAAGTCAGTTACGGAGAACGTAACAGGGCATGTAGCGGATAAAACGGGGTGTAGACTAAAGCGCTCAAACAAATTAACCGTCTGAATATATGATCTACTACCACTGATCTCTGTAATGCAAACCCAGGGATAGCGCGCATTCAAGTAAAGAAAGTGAAAATTTCGGCACCAGGAGATACTAGACTAAGAAGAGTAAGCTTGGAACTAAGGTGCTCTGGACCCACTCCAGGCACCACAGTGTGCAAACGACCGGCCACTTATATGGAATTCTCGCACAGAGCCGGCTATCCTACCAGCAAATCAGCAGACTGGACGCTCCTGTCGTCAGGTCAGTAAGGACCACCTCGAATAATCCGGAGAGATTGATATCAGAGGTCACCCGAACAGAAACCATACTAACGGAAGTTGGCGAGCTCAAAGTTGGCTAATAGGATATCGGGCCCGTGTACGGATCTGTAAGACCACCCACCAACCCACCCACACGAGATGTTTACGTTCAGTTTTCACCTGAAAATGGATAACATGCTCGAGCGGGGATCAAAACAAATATATCTTGCCGGTACCTCATTTGGCTTCTTCACTGATGGAATTCTGCCAAACTGTCGCGGCAGACAAGTTTCACTTTTAACTTACTGACATATAATCTAAAAATCTGTCCTGCCAATTGATATTTTCGACCCAGGTTGCTGCGACTTGCTCGTTCTGCAACCAACCTCTGCCATTCCGTTTGACATCGTTATCTCAGCACAGAAACTAACGGACACGGTCAACACTAAAAACTCATCCAATTGGTTTTGGGAGATTACAAATTCTACTCATTAATCTTCCGGCAGTGTTGCTCAGTCAAGCTAGGATACCACCAGTTCCGCAGGTGGAAGGTATCGACCGAGCATATGTGTATATCTATTACCTCTCCAACTTTTGATGGCTCCGGGCTTTATTAATGGAGCATCTGAACACTGAAATGGGCCTATCCACAGCTTCGTTGTTTACGACAACTGTGTAGTGACTGCACAAAGAAGACAGTCGGTTGCTTTCGATAGCAAATCGCACATCAGGACTTCCAGGCTGTAAAGTGCCGGGGGCTCTCATCATCATTATCGACAACATAACATCAGATTCATTGCCGCACAACCACAATTTGTTCGGAAGTCTCATTGTAAAGAAAAGGAACGAGGAAGGGGCATAGTGCTAGCCTACTACAGTCATTCCGGGGTGTCTACACTTCCAGACACTAATTCAGAGGTTAGGGAGCTCCCATCCCGAAAGGCGGGTGGCACCGACAGAACCAATACGTATAGTAATCTCTTTCATACTCCTTTACCAGGTTTGACCGCCTCTGCCACTCCGAATTGAGGACGGAAAATATCACTCTCTTCAGCAAACGATGGTTCGGTATGTGCAATACATGGTCTAACCAACGATGCTTCTGGTGCCGGAAGTTCCCGTTGTACAGCCGAAAACTCGCCGTCTAATAGCCTCGTTACGGATTCGACAGCACCAACCCACACGAGCTTTGCTTCTGAGGAGCGGCTGTCCAACACCTAAAGACGTCTCACTTCCGCTGCCCGAACACGCCAAGTCTCACAGCCATACAGCCACACTGTAGTCTGACACACAAATCCCTTGAGATTCAGGGATATACCGCTTTGATGCTATAGGTGTCTCAGATTCGCGCATTGACCCTTACAGTCGGAAGTAATACAACTCTCAAAGTAGGTAGAACGCTCTACAACTTCGGGTGCTCCCTGGATTTTAAGTGTTATGTTCAGTGACTGAATTTTCAGAATCATGACCTTACACTCTGTGGGTGCAAAGCGCATTCCAACGTACGGAATGAATTTGGTCAGTTCAACCCAAAACACTTGCGACTTCTCCCCGAAAACGACAAGGTCGACAAGGTTTTAGTCAGTAGCTATTTGAACACCAAGGTTTTGAAGATCTTCCATGGTTAGTCTCAATATCTCATTGATCACGAAATTTACTAGGAACAGAGTGAGTGGACGGCCCTGACGGACACAGCTTTGTGTACAGAAGCGTTTTGAGGGCATACCATATACCCTCACAAACCCGAAAGTCTGAGAATACAAAGAACTCATCGTGTTAATCTAATTCCGGGGCATTCGGTGCTGGGTGAGCCTGTTAAGGAAGATAAACCGGTCTACCGAATCCAGTCCAGGAATACTAAAATTGTGCGACTTTGATACGAATGATCAACACAACCTCTGCTAGGCCGGAATTCGGCTTCCTGCTCTCGAGTTAGTGTTTCGGGAGCCACCATGAGGGGATGAAGTAATGATCCCATGAGTTCCGTTACGATTGGAAGCTTATCCCCCTCTGATTACCGTATTCACTACGAGCTCCTTTTTTGAAAATGGATACTATAATCGATTTCTCCCACTCGTATGGGACAGCCCCCTTTTCCCATATATACACAAACAAATCTGGCAAACGCTCACTGAGGATTTCAACCCCATTTTCTAACAATACCCGTGGGCAGTCATCCGCATTAGGTGATTGGTGGTGCTTGAGAGAACATGTGTAGTTGGCGCAGACCTTCATGGCCGTAAGGGCTTCCAGATTCACCGTTCAGGATTCTAGTTCAGCTACCATATGAGTGACAGATAATGACCTCCAGAATTGTTGTCCAAGTACTCGGNGAAGCGTTCTTCATTATTCAAGATATTCACTCCAATCTGCCTGTTGATGGTTCCTCTCAAAGGCGGTTTTCTGAGAGCGGTTTCACGGACCAAAGAAGATGGTCGTCGGATATTCACGGTTTTCTTGGCCTCTGCCATTTCCTTAGACTCCAGAGTCTGCCAGTCTTCACGGTCGGTGTACGCGCTCACATTCACTTGGTGTCTGATAAGTCAGTGGGCCAAAGTATGTTCGGAAATGGCACGAACAACTGTCGTAAATTCAAGCAGTGCCACCTTTCGGTTTGATATCCAGTGCCTGAACGGCCCTGTTGATGAGGTCCCAGCACTATGAACAGATGGGGCAATCTCGTTCCAGCATGCATTCACATATGATGGTAGAACAGCCGGAATAGATTTAAGAAGACGATTTTGGTAAATTCGTCCACCATCTGGCTCTCAGTTGCTAAATTATTTGTCTGCATCTCACGGGGTCCTGGAAAGCGAAGACAGAAGCGACTCCGGACGAGCGCGTGATCTGAATCCATGAATGTTTTCCAAAACAGTCGTCAGTCAATTATTGACCCTCGACCTCAGTTACTGATGGTGACTTGATCAGTTTGATTTCGTGGCCGGCGTGCTGTTGGAGGACAGCATGTGGCCAGAAGACTTTGGTTATTTCGGAAGTGAGCACTGCCAAAAAAATCAGCACATAGCTGAAGCAGTCTTTCGCCAATTTCCTTACGTACCAGTTCTAGTCCATGTCGACCAACTGATCCAGTCTCAGATGAGCTAAGCGTTCCCACTTGTGATTCAGATCTCCGGCAACTGGAACGACATCCGAACCTTCAGCTCGCCGCAACAGGGCACTCAGGGCGTAATAAAATTGTCTTTGATGGGATACGACAAAACAGATGCGACAAAACAGCCATCGATCAACTTCCCGCTTGTGAGACAGTTGCCAGACAAACCGTACACAGGTGACTATTAACGAGTATCCAGTCACACAAGCAGCCTTCCACCCAGTGAGTTAAGACGATATAAAGCCCTGCACATTCTGCCGTACCTGCGCGGCCAGAAGCGAGTGGAGAGTGATGGGCGGTTAGCTCAGCCACTGTGCTTGCG